GCCATGGCCTCCAACCTCATAGCCATGGCCTCCAAACCTAATAGCCATGGCCTCCCTCATGGCCATGGCCTCCACCCTGATAGCCATGGCCTCCAACCTCCTCCAACCTAATAGCCCTGGCCTCCAAACCTAATAGCCATGGCCTCTAACCTAATAGCCATGGCCTCCAAACCTAATAGCCATGGCCTCCAACCTAATAGCCATGGCCTCCAACCTAAAAGCCTTGGCGCCCAACCTAATAGCAATCGATCAATATGTTTCTTTGCTGCCCATCCGCCATCCGCCCATCCATTTGAAACATCTACTCGTCGGCTGTGCGTTTGTGGCTTCCTTGGGACTTCCCGTGTGACGGCGAGGCATTGGAAGCGCTGGATGTCGGATTGACCGGGAGGAAAACAGGAAAACGGTCTGAAATGGAAGAGACTGAAGTTCCAGTGTTTCTTCTTTGGGTTTCTTTCGACTCGAAAACGCCCGCTATTCGAGACGTGCGCCTCTGTCCATTGGATATGTACTGTATAGTTTAGCATATGTTATCACATACAGTTATAGTTTATATAGGTATATACGGCATATAAAATAATGTTATATTGTTGCACTAAGAAAAACGACCCCTGCCTGGCAACCCTGACTCTTGAATTGAGTGCCCACGTTCGCAGGGTGTGTTTTCCGAAGGGGCCGCCGCTCCCATGCGCTCGCTGTCGTGCACGATCATTGATCTGTTAATCCTTTTTAATTCTGGACAAGGTCACGGCCACGTAGCGGGCCGGAAAAGGATTATACGTTGTGATCTGTTTGGGTGTGTCATGGTTTCTCATTGAACCTGACCCGTTTCCGTTTGTCGATCTCTTGTAAAGTTGTATGTGAAAGCTGCTGTGAGGGGATTGCGGGGCTTCACCTACAGGGTAGTGTTGTCCGGATATGGCCAGGTAGTGCAAGACTCAACCTCACATTTTGCATCTTTTTGCCAAGTCTATGTTGAACTTCGTTGATGAACAAGCCAGAAAAGCTTGGTTCCGGCGGAGTGTGCTTGAGGTTGAAAGGGCAATGGGCCATCCCAAAGTGCGTTTTGTGTGAGTCTAGATGCCTAGGCGTGTTGTAGGCCTTTTCAGTCAAGGTAATGTAGTAATGTAATGTAATGTAGTTTGTTGCTATGCGGCCTGGCTCACCAGCAATATGTTTTCATGCTGTTTCCTTTCAACTGGCCTGGGCTGTGACCTTCTTCCTTCAGTTTCGGATGACCTTCGTTTTGCAAAATCCTCAGGAAGAATTGGAAAAAGCAGAGCCGGTCTTTGGATGCCTTCCTACGGTCGCGCAAGAGGGGCTTTTCCTGCCCAATCACAGTGGAATCCAAGCAGTGGATTCGGTCACATGCAGCAAGAAGAGCTGTGAGGCCATTGGAGCCCTGTTTTTAGACGGTGCAAACCGGAAATCCATCATTCTACCGAACTGATCACCACCCACCACAGGCACGTATTTTGTTGTTATTTCTGCACTTCACGAGCTGGCTGGAAGATCAACTAAACTCTGCCTTAATTATAGGTTTGCATTTTTGAGTCAAAGGTCTGACCTGAACTCCTGCAGCACTTGGCTATTGTAGACCACATAGCGTTCGACAGGGCGTTGTTCTTGATGAAAGCGGGACTTCTTTTGGTCCCAGGGCTTTTGGTGCCGCTGTCCGCGACCAATTTAAGTGCGTGCTATGGCTGGCCTGCCCCTTGGCCGTTCCAATTGGTGATTAAAGATGCAAAAAAGAGCGTTTCCTTGGATAGTTACTTGAAGTTGCTTCTGCTTGGGGCCCTACGACTGCCAAGGAGACCTGCAGCGGTTGCGCATGCTATACCACCAAGAGCGATTGCTCGGCTGCTGGCTGCAGCTGGTCCGAAGCGGACACCTGCACGGCCAAGGCGCTTTTGCCCAGTTGTAAGGCCAAGATGATGACCGCCAGGCGCAATCGACGAACAGGATGGATCGTGTCCAGAAATCGAAGTAGTGATGAGCCGCCCTTTGGAGAAAAACAGCCGGTGTTTTCTTTGTTTTTGTTTGACTTCAATGAGACAAGCACAAAAGCGTGGCTGCTTGTTTTCATGACGTTCACAACTTGCCAGAGAAACTGAAGTTACTGAACACCTCCAGGCAGCCAACTATCCCCTATGCTTGTGTGAGCTCTATGGCACTTGCCAAAGAAGCTCTTGAGCTTTGTCACTCCGCCCTGTACACTCGCCCGTGTGTCCCGTCGCGGGCGGGACTTGTTTGCGACTGATGAGTTGGGAGCCGGGGCTAGTAAGTCATGCCTTCGTCCTTTCATCAGCCTTGCAAGAGTGGGGGCTCGAGGCGAAAGAACTATACTAGGGGCCAATGACATAGGGCTTGTGAAACTATAGTCGAAGTAGCAGAAGCCTATGTCATGTGGAAAGGTACTACATGCCACAAACCCTATGTCATGAGGCCAAACGTGCGAAAAGGGCCCTGGCATGAACAATTATGTTGTCTCATATTTTTTTTAAAAATTTTTGGATTTCAAGAGGTTTTGGACATTAAACCACATATGACATAGGACTATGTCAGCCAAATAGCATGTGGCAAGTCGTAGATGACATAAAACAAACAAGGCGCGTGACTAAGTCATTGAGCATTTCCTGGTCATGTATTCACCTTGGGCGGGTACTTTCTTTAAGGTGTTTTTAAAGGTAAACTTGCTGGCACAATGCCACACACCCTATGTCATCCTTCAGTTTGGTGCGTTCACCCAGTTTGCTACTGGCTGATGACTTAGGACTACCCTCAGGGACATTCCTATGTCATAATTTGAGCATATTCCTATGTCATCAGCCCCTAGTATATGTACCTTGGTGGGACTTTTGTTGGGTGGTGAAAAGCTTCTTGTTCCTACTAGCTTCTTGTTACTACGAGTAAGGCACTTGTTACTAGAAGCGTGGCACCTGTTCCTACTAGCTTCTTGTTACAGTAATGTATTCTGTAGTTCGCATGACATTTGATGATTCGATCTTCCCACATCATACTCCAGGAAAGTCGCGCCAAGTCACAAACCAAATTCCCGATGAAGCTCTAGGCACTTTTGTCTTTGGAAACTGGTTCCTTGAATGAAGAACCGATGGTAAGCTAGGCCGGACCCTAGCCTGATGAGGTAACAAACGACGTGTGCAACCCTTCTCGAAGCAGATGTTCGCTGGTGCCTCGGCCTTTGCCGAGCTGTTAGCGGGCTACGTGCGGGATGTGCTTGAGAAGAGTGAAGAGGACTGACTGGCGTTTCCAACGCCGAACTCTCCAAGGAGTCTCCAAATGTGTCAAACCGCACTGAAAGCATCTCAAAGCTATGACTAGATCCAGACACACCCTGCACCTCCCACACATAGTGAGGGACTTCTTCCCTCCCAGTTCTTTATAGTGGGACGTTACAGGAATCTCCACGCGCCATCTTCTTTGCAGCTCCAACTTGCTGGTTCTCATGTTAAACGACTTTTAGTGAAGCAACACCCTATGAAACAACACATGACACTGATCCTTTAGGAGTATCCCTTGCGATTCGCATACTATGCCAACTGGTTGACCGACACCTTTGTGGAGTGCTTGGATGCAGGGACGGGTCCTTATCAGGTCCCTGGAGGAGGTGCGACTGGATCGGGTGAACGTGCGCGAAAAATCTGACTGGTGCGAGCGACTCGTAGGGAATATGGGTGGCTGGATCCTGATGGATCTACAGGGGTGACGAAGCTTCCCTCATTCCTTAGACTCGTCGCACGAGGGACTGATGAGACATGAGTCATGAGGGACAGCATAACTATAGCTTTACCGTGCTTTCCATACTCAACCAATGTGAGACGAATGCTGAAAGACCATCCGAGCACCACCGGCGCAGACAGCCCCGGTTCCGCAGCAGAGCGGGCCTATACCCGCCGTACGTGTTCTGGTCTTCGAGCCAAATTAAAGCGAAGGCTAAACTCCATTGGTTTGAGGCATGCTCACAAAAGGCTCGGAACCCCCCTATGCTAGTCAAAGGTGTTTGATGACCACAGCAACGCTATAAAGCTCTTTTTTGCTGTCCGCTATCCGTTTCTTTTTACACATTGTGTTGCCAATAATGTACTGTGGCAGGTGAACAGCTGTGTAGCATGCTGGAGTGGAACGCAGGGGTCGCCGAGAAAAACTTGGCCAAGTACCTTCGCGTGCCTGCGCATTGTGAACAAGAGGTGATTGGGTGAGTTTTGCTGGGTGGGGTGTATTGAGGGATATCAAGGGCGCCTTATATGAGTTCATAGTCGTCCCGCCAGATTCCTCAAATGAACTGAAACACATAAAGAATCAATAATATATAATATATGTTTAGTATACATATATATATATATACAATTTTTCCTGGAACGTTCCCCTTCCAAATTCGGGCTCACTAGGCCAGCTGCGGTTGTGGCCGGAATGGACAAACATAAGTCAAGAAGAACCAATGGTTTTTCTGAATCAAAGAAAGAGAGGAATAGATTCTTTGCCTTTGCAGAGTATTATAGATATATATATATAGAGTCTGATAGACTTTCTGAGCCACTACTCAATGCATGTGTTTTCTGCCGGCCTGCTGGCAGAAAAACACATTCCGAGGATCTAATGGCCGCGAAACACCCCAAGTCACTGCTGAACACTTTCAATTTGGTGCTGGATTTCGGCTACAACTCCTATGAAAGCATGTGCAAGTCGATGCAGAAAGGCTGGCCTCGCACGGTCTACGACCCCATGGGTGGGCATGTGAGTGTCGAGGAGTTGTACCAGCAGAATCAGGATGGAAGACCCTACTGGGGCGTTTCTGGAGGTGGCGGTGCTGGTGCGGGCTTTGAAATTTTCTGCTCCTCCATCGCAATATATAGGTGTTGTATGGTGACATGCGGACAAGCCCTATACCGCGGGGGTGTCCTGGGTGCTTTCCACCTTGCGGGGTCACGAGAAGCAAGTGCATAAGATTGAAACAAAGATATTACTGTGCATATTAGTCTAGCTTAGTTTTATGAATCAACTACATATGCCTTATGATTCTTCCTTAGCCATCCTTATCTCAGACGATTGCAGCTGATGCAGCTTCCACCCTGTCACAAAGTTCTATTGCCCATTTGGAAAAACTAATCCTGTTTCTGTTCTACATCCCTCAATGAGTTCACCAAAAACCAGGCCCTGAGTATCAAATTCACTCATGGCCCATTCCATTTGACCCAGGCCAGGCATGGCCAGGCGGTAGGTGGAATTCAAGGGCTGTACACAAAACTAATTACCTTGATGTAAGATTCATAGGTAGTCACGACTCGCCTTAAACCAAAGACCGGTTGGGTCCAGCCGCAGCTGTTTCAAGGTGCAAATGACACAGGAGCCATGGGAAGTATGCTAACACTCATTGCTGTGACACCTCGTGACACCTCACCTCACTGTTCCAAAGTCATTTGGTCCCAGTACCAACGACCCGGAGATGATCCTCTCATACTTGGCTCTCCGCCCCCAATCCAGCGTTCTTTTGCAGAAACGTCCCAAGGTGTGAATGATACCAACGAGGAAGAAGAGACCATCATCACCGGCGGCGGAGGTGGTGGTGGGGGCGTGAACACTCCAGAGGAAGGTGGGGATTGGCGGCTGTCATGTGAGTCAGACTCACAACATCGAGTCAGACAAAGAGTTGGCTCTCATTGATTTACGTGAGTTTTTGCGGGCGTTTTGCTAACTTGTTCACTTTGATATCATTAATATGGTATTATTCGCTTATGATCATTCCTGATTCATCATAGATAGATAAGATTTGCCTTGGTTATTATATAATAACCGGTTTTTCCAACACTGTTCTTTTCATGTCGTTTCACCTGAGCAAACCCTGACCCCAATGGCACGGGTGATCCACCCGTTGCCCGGCCGTTGTACCTGATCACCAGGCACACCCATCGAGGCCGGAGGTGGTGGTGGAGGTGGCGTTCAAGTGGGTGCGGATGGCATCCCTGCGGTGGGTGCTGGGGCTGGGAACCATCCGCCGGGCGTCATCTCGATCGCACCTCGGTGGGTGCTGGGGGAGAACGGGAGGCGGGTTGTTCAAGGAGATACAACGGGAAGAAGAGGTAAGGGTGTGATGGACCCTTGAAACAACACTGTGTGTGCTTAACTGCGTTTTTGTTCCAAAGATGACTATCTACATAACTTTATATAACATTAGATAACTTATTTGTGTTCATCCAGTGTTGCCACCAGCTGAGACACCAGTGATTGAACTTGGCCAGGGTCACAGACACGGACTTGATACCTTGTAGAGGGGCAGGACCCCCTGGGAAGGACATCCTGATATCCCTTGAATTCCTTTTGTCATCCGTTGACCCATGCACGCAGCACAGCAGTTCTCAGAACTAGTGGGTGGATTTCGGGAATGGCTCGTAGAGCGGAAAAGGTCTCGATGCACCCCACCATGTTCGGAAGCTTGAGGTTGTTCTATTTTCCTGTGTTTTGTTTTTGACGCGGAGGCTATCATGAACCGGTGGCTGAAAGATCCATTGACCATTTCTGCGACAATAGAAAGTGTGCAAACATCAAACATTTACTAACTAATCGGCCAGCCAACCAAGGCAAGTACTACTAACATTACTAACCTACATTGGACCCTTACGTTATATCTCTGGATGTAAACCGTGGTTTTGCTTCATTAGGTCCCGTGATATGGTTCTGTGATGTTTTATTTGGTATGTGCTTTCTGTACAGTGCAACTGTACAGGTTTGTTTTTAGGTTCATTGGGATGCTTTTTCAGTGACACCACAGCAATGGCCCTGGCTGTACCTACTATATATTCTTCTAGCTGAATTCCTGGTGGATTTCCGCCTCGCAGTCACCTCTCAGGAGATGACCCAAACAGATCACAAGAATTGGATTGAGTCCATGAAGAAGGTCGCCTTGGCTTGCTATAAGCAAGGATTTGCCAAATAGATGCAAATAGTTTCGTCACGTTACTGTACCAGGGACGTCTTCATCGCAAAAGTCATCGCAAGATTTTGTTGTGTTTCCTACAGAAGAAGATCATCCCACAGGAACATCCTGAGAGTTTTGTGCTGTCGTGTGCCGACACGTGTGCCGTGATCTCACACAACTTCGCTTCCGCACGACCATCGAACGGAAGCGACCGGTGCCGTCGGGTGACGATCCCCCACCAGGGGAGCTTTGATGGTCATCAAGTGGCACTGAGATCGGGAGAGGTCCTCCCGGAGCCACAGGTCGCCGATCGTTCGACTTCGCAGGTCGCTGAATCGATTCGCAGCTGCGCCTCGACACCTGGAAAGCACATCTCCTTGCGTGGCGGTGACGGTGGCGGTGCAGGATTTGAGGCTTATTTGCCTTGGAACGTGACGAATCCAGAGGGTCTCTCGGTGTCAACTCTAGTGACTCTAGTGATGGTGTGTGCCCAAGGCCCAAGGATTCTTTAAGTATGTTATGTTATAATTACTTACTCTGACACTGATTCTATCGTTTTCTTATGTTCACTTCACACTGCCGTAAAGTAAAGAGTTTAGATTACAAGACCGGGTGAACCATTTCTTTTAATGACCGGCCGGATCTTTCTAGGCCGCTGAGGCCGCATCCTTCTAGGCCGTGACCGGATCCCGTCACCGAAGTGACGAGAGTCTCGGCGCTTCGGTGGATCGATTCGGTCACCAAATCACCCAAGCGCTTCAGTGGTTTCAGAGTAGATGGCTAGATGGCACAATCCTCAAACGCTGGTTTATATAATATATATATACATATATATAGATATAGACCCTCATATAAAAGGACATCTTTATAGGTTTGTGCCATCTATTCTGAAAACACGATAAAACCTTTTAGAATTGTCATGCCCTCACATTCCAGAGATCAGCAGTACAAGTCGCCCAAGTCGTTCTTCCAAGTCGCCCACCCCACCTTGTTCCGCTTGGGACCCCAGTCCTCAGTCGAGGTAATCCTGAAGAGGTGCAACCTCACGGCTTATCATTTGGCAACTTGGTTTGGGAGCTGGGTGGACACTGGTAATCCTGATGAGGTACATCACTGGTACATCACTGATGCGGGGCTGATGAGGGTGCTTGCCATTTGTGTTTTTGGAGTCTCTTCGTTCTTTACAATGTGCCACACAAATCCAACATTGAGGATTTTTACAAAGTTGTTCAAGGCCCATTTGAGGCATGCCAGATTTGAGGTCCAACAGCTTCGAGAAGCCAGTGATTTGTTTCAGACTTTGTTCGGTGAGCGCAGGCATGCGTTTAGCCTGATGGCACCACTGGTCGTCCAACCGCTATTCCAATCTTTTCTCGGCTGCGGCCCACCGACGACCGTCCGGGCCGCTCTCCCACACAGCTGGGTCGAATGCGCTGCCCAGGCTATGGTTTCCAGTTCGCGTTGGGTCCCAAGACCGAGGACCGTCCGGGCCGAGGGTCCGGAGTGGGGTGGAGCGAACCCCCAGCGTCCGATCGTTCCGAGCAGCGTATGGCTCCTGGAACCCCTAATTAAGAGCGTCCTATTGCTAGTAAGGCCAGGAGCCCCTATAGCGTCCTGTAAAACCAAGAATCAAGCAACAGCCAACCCTGGCAGATTTGCGTCGCTCTCAAGTTGTTACGCTGGGTGGTTCAGCCTTTGAATGGGCCCAGGACCCTGACAGCCCGCGAGCAGTGCGACTCACGCCCAACGCCGGGCACTCGGAGGCGGCATTCGTGTCTTGCCCTGGCGCTCCGGACGACACATGCAGCTTGGCAGAGCTAGAGTAGGTCGTTTTTGTTTCTTCACTCCTGCTCTAAATTGAGGTCGTGCTACCATTCATATACTCTATAATTAGCCTTGAAAGTTCGGGGCAAACACCAACACCATGTCAACTGGCAGAAATCATATGAAATCATATGAATGCGCGGCGATCAAACGCAGAAAAATCCCCTCCCCAAACATGGGTTGGAACATGTTGGAACATGCTTGGACCGGTCTCACTGGACCGGTCTCACGCCCACACCACGTGGTGGATGGAGTCAAGACGATCAGTCAGAGATCATGGCATCATCCAAAGCAGCATTTCTTGCGTAAGCCAAGGGCGTTTTGGGTGCACCCACCTATCCTTGTGGAAAAGCTACCTAGGGTGTGAAGATATGTGAAGTCTGAAGATGTCCTTGTTTAAAGCCTGAAGAATCGAAGAGGCTTTCAGAGAGCTGATTAGCTAAGAACCTTGGTGCTAACATGTGCTAACGACTTTCTTTGGCCGGCGTTGCCTCAGTCACATGAATGACGTGGCCAGCAGAAATAGGAAAGTGTGGAAGAGTTGTTTGGCTGCTGATTGCGCAGGTGGGTCATTGTGTGGGAACCTTTGGTTTGGATCTTCTGGGCCTTCAGCGCCAACATATGACACAGGTGTTTCATCCAAGATGGTCATTGTGAGTCTTCCTTGGGGCAACGATCTTCATCCAAGGTTACGATTGCGTGGATCCTCCATCGATTCACCCGTCCAATGAGACACCGCACAAATCAACCAGCTTCACCTATGCCTGCAGAGTCTTGAATCGAACCGGGACCGGACAGCGCTCGAAGGGAGAGATCGAATTGGGCTGCATGGATGTGGGGCATTGATGGCGCAGGATGTAGCAGGTGTGGAGCGGTGTAAGGCTGGCATTTCCACCTACGAAGAGGTGTCCTCCTGCAACAGAACTAGTGGCACCCGTTTGAGGAACTGAAGCACCCACAGATCCAGGGCCTCAAACCTAGTCAATACGTCGAACCACTTCCGACCTATCGATCTGTTCCACTCCAAGAATTGTCCTTTATACATCTATAGGGATCCAACGGCTGCGGCCCCTTTCCAACGGCTGCTTCCGCTCTTTGTCGGTGTCTCTGGGTCTTGGTGGAACGACCCGGTCGGTGGAACCCATCGATCCGCCGATCCGGTGTCGCATGGAAACCGCCCGGCCAAGGCAATGCATGGGCCATCCAAGTTTGCTCATTGGCCAGCTACAATGGCACGGTCTATGGGCAGTACTCTCACTACTCAGAGCCTCGGATGAAAGAAGAGGGAGGCATGTTGAGTGCAGATGGGCGGCCATGGGATGCCGGTATGAGACTCAGCCGTTCATGAAGAAACAGGCAGGTAACCGATTCAATCATTGGGTTGAAGTTAAGTCTTATATTTTATGTATCATGCAGCCTAAGATTCTCATGGTCAGTGAAGCTACCGCATTGCCCAAGGGCCACGAACAGGCTTTTTCACAGGGATCCACGGATGACGTCTTCCCTCATCGCCCAGGTTCAAACCAAACCTTGCCAGGTGTTCAACCTAAGAAACATGGATCCGACCTTAAACCAAACAGAGGAAAGTCATCGGAACATCCAATGAATCCAGTCAAGTCGATCCACGATATTCAGAAGATTCACCCTTGTTCTTGGCAGTGTCAACATGGCCACAAGCTGATCCCAAGCAAGTTTTGCTGAGCCATGGATACCAATGGCATACTTTGCATTGCACCGAAGCTGAAGCTAAGAACGGTTCTTGGGGCCCCCCCGAAACGCCGTGCGCCACAAGTCCTTCAGATCACACTAGTCCGAGCTTCATAGATCTGAAGCCACACCGCTGGTACTCGGCTCTCAGGAATGCAACTGCCCAGTCTCAAGCTGGTACCGGGCAAAGTTCTTGCCGGACACCCCCAGTTTCCGTTCACAGAGCCCGGATGTGCGTTTGGAGCCGGGTGGGGCCGGGTGGTACGGCCAGTTCTTTGTCAGCTCATGTTCTTGCAAAACAAGTCACCCACAACGAGTCGCCCAACGGGAGGAGGGCAGGGTTTTTGTTTGCTACAGCTGTTATCGTTCTTTCTCCAGGCGTCCGCCTCCATGGGGCATTCTTTGGAGAGAAGGGAGTCTATGGACTATAGTGATCTATAGTCCATACATTGGCCCATGGAGTTCCAACAGCATCATGAACACCTTGATAGAGGTTTCTTCAAACGGTGCTGTTCAGCCGAAGATTCGTTCAAGACATTTGCAAGACGATTATTGATCGCAAAGAGGAAACCAATCCAAGCCTGACCTCTTGCTGCCCAAGGAAGATCTCCCACTGCTATTCGGAGCAGGGCAAGGGCCAACTCCCCATGGTCACGAAAGCCGATGTTGAGCTGAACTGTGCCAAGTGGTGTGGAGCACGAGCCCCCACAGTCAGTGGTTTCAACAACTCCTGCTCCATCCTCCCAGGCCTTACCCGCGCGGGTCTTACGGCATTCCTTCCCGGGAATGGACTCCATATGGACTCTCACAGTGGACAAAGGTCTTGAGAATGGATGAGAATGGTGGTTCCAAGACAGGAGCCTTCCAGGTTGCGCTAGCTCAAGCACTAAAGCAACCTGGAACGCATATGTGCCACCGGTAAATGTGTGATGTTGCTTGTGTTTAGGAGAAAAAACAGGACCTGTGGCAATATTGGGCATGTTCTTTGTTTACGTGGTACCTGGAGTATGCTGGAGTACCCTCATTTGGAGTGCCCCCCCATGCATAGACGGAAACGTATAAGCCCGGAAGAAGTCTACCCGAATCTAACCAACATCCTGGCAAGAAAAGGTGCGCAGCTAGTGCTACTTGATCGGCTCACAGTATCAAACAGGTTTGGGTGTGTCATGGCTTGTCAATTGCTAAGAAAAAGGCAGGCCACCATAGGCTACCTTCCTGTTCACCTTTGCCACATGTTTGGAGCAGACTGGGTAGACCAACCGCCATTTTTCGCAGACCGACCATTGTGGGGCAGGCTGCGAATGCCTGAAGAGCCAGCCAGCTTCTGGATCTTTCATCTATACACCTACGGGTGTGACGGGGACGAGTCGCTTGACTGAAGAGCCAATGGCCAAAGTTGTTATATACGTACATTCTGTAATTATGTATGTTGTATACATTTGTATACACACATGCATATGCATATATGCCTGCATTTTAACGATGTAACATGTAAGAATACAATATTGTGCATGTTGAAATTTGTTCCGCAGGGCATCAGTCATGTGCACAATTTTGCATGTTTCGGTGCTTGGACGGCCTGGGAGACATCTCTTTGATCTAGGCATGCCAGACACCCCCGGAAATTCACCTACCTTGGATTACCTTGGAGATCGTGTGGGGAACCTTGAGTTGTACAGGGTTGGTCGCAAAATGCTCAGGTATTGGCTCAGCAGTGCTGGGTGGAGCTCTTGTTCATTTGCTGCACCGTTTTGCTCCGAGCCGCAGCTACACACCACTTCTGGAGACCACCAGTGATCTCACATGAGACGAACGGTACGGACGGTCAGCTGAGAAGGAGGCTGTACGGACGTGGTGTGCTTTGGTCACCTTCGAAGGTCAAGGTGGAGCAGAGTTTAATTTTTGCTCTTGCTGTTCTGTACGGCAATAATCCAGAAGCAACAACCTAACAGCATGCGTCCTACAGTTTGCAAAAGTTGTATACTTCCTTAACGATAGAGAGAAGAGTCGTCTCATTTTCCGCCAAAGCTGCCGAATGAGCAACCATGGCTGTGCGTTTTGAACAATTGATTTTCAAGTTGAGCCTTTCAGAACTAATTTGTGTTTCGAAGGTTAGGCTGGCAGATCACAAGTCATCCGATACAGCACTGCTGGAGAACAAAGCCATTAGTGCGTTTTGCAATGAGCTTCGTCGCTGTGTCCTAGCAGTAGCAAACATTCAGGACCTTGATGATGCTTTGGATGAAGCAAGGGAAGTTTCGATATCTTTTACCTCCTACTTGGTGGGCATCACCACCTTGAAACTTTTGACAGAGGGAATGCAGGACTGAAACTGACTATTTGTTTTGTATTGTTTTGCATGGTTATTTTTTGGGGGGTTGTCGAGCTAGCATCACAATGACGCGGCTGAATCTGAAATGCCATTCTGAGGAAGAGAATGTGTGGGTTGAAAGCAAAACCACTCGAGCTCCGAAGGTTACCTACATCTACCTCCGTCAGCACCGAAAACACCATCACTAAACATAATGATCAGCAAAGGTTCAAACAGAATTATCTTTCAACGCAACATTTGATGATGCAACTGAATTAAACATAACTGTCATAACTAGAACCGCTCGCGGGTTTTTAGATGTTTTTAGTGTCGCTTTTTCTGGCCAAGTGGCTGGCTTCCCATGGAGCACTTGAGCCGCAGGTGCCGTCGGAGTACTCGAACCTGCCCCGGCTGGATGGTTGGGACCTTGGAACTACTTGGTGGGTTTCATGTAGACATACCCTCTCTCCAAGCCTCGGTAGATAGACCTGACCAACGGACTTCCCCTTATGTTTGGCTGCTCAGCTGGTGATCCCAACTCTCCAACATTATCCAACAACCACGGAAGTGGATGGTTGTTTTCTATTTGTCCGAATGCCAAACAGGGGGGGTTGCCCACTTCATCCCATTTCCATGTGTGTTGGAGGGGTGGTAACAGGTTCCATTTGCGGAACCTGCTGCAAAAGTCTATGTCGGCAACATGTTTGGGGTCCAGTGGGTGTTAGGAGTGGTGAGCTTTGGCTTGCCCATGGCTAACTCGGACTCGTACCCAAGCTGGATGATGTCAGCCAAGACTTCATGGATGTGGTTTGCAGGAGTCGCGCACGAGTTCTGCACGAGTCGCGCTTGAACCTACACCCCCACGTCGCTGGCCGGCGCCCCCAGGCCGAGCAGTGGTGGAGTTCACCCTGGTCCGAGGACCGGAGGCCGGCACCAAAGTGCCGGGGACGCCCAGCTTTGCGATCGCGAGGAGAACGCCGAAGTCACCGGTGGCTTTTGGGCTGAAGTGTGGCATGGTGGGATTCTTGAGTGTTGCGAAGCCGTGGGTTTCCCTATGCCATAGATAGAGATATGCCGTATATAGAATTGTAAAAGCTCAGTTCACTATGGTTCCGACCTGTCCAACATCTCTAGCAGACCCAAGCAGGCCCAATCGTCCCACCCGCTGTGGATGCCTCCTGTGGTGCCCACCGAATGAGACCTGACCTGTCAGTGGCCGCAACCAGGTACTCGGTGGATTCCGATCTGTACAACGAGGTGGATTCCGATGTGACTCTTTTCTTCGAGCTGCGCTTTGCAGCTCCGATTAGACATGGTCAACGAAACGACCTATTTGGAGCGCTAATGTATTTGCGATTAACAATGATGGAGAAGATAAGTTTTGAACCCACCCAGAGTTGCATAGGACCATCCTAGGACCATACTACGGCTTAAAATCCACCTTGATTTTTCTGGCTGAAGCCGTTTGCAGCTCTATGTTCCGGCGTACGGCAAAGCAATTTTTGCCAAGCGTTTTGCCACCAGGGATTGAAATCAGGGTGCTGCAAGAGTTGCTCATTTCGTTTAACCCATTCCCACCCTTTGTTTTTTAATAGAGCCTTGAAGCAATTACCACTCAAGGACAATTAGTAGTCCGTCTCACTTCAACGTTGTTTTTGCGATGTCATGTTCCGCTTGCCAGGCCAAGTTTAAATTGACTGTGGATGGCTATGCCGCTCCTTTATCCGCCTGGGAGCCTATGCCATTGCCACTCCAGACACGGCCAGACAGAGCTGAAGCACAAGCGGGTTGGGCAGCACACGGTCCGCGGGTGTGAAGGGGAAAAGGCTGCCTTTTTGGGGATGAGCCACTGAGCACATCTACGACTCTAGACTCTAGAGTCGACGTGTTTGGGACATTTTCGCGCTTTAGCAAGATAATTAGGACCGGATTGATGATGGAATGTTTATTTTGATTTGAGTATGATTGTACTCTTGCAAGCTTATATACCACAGTAAGTGTTTGGGTTTTGCTTGGAGAGGAGCCATTTGGGGGAAAAGGGTTCTTGCCTGATGTCTATTGAGGTTGCTCAACTCATTCAAGAACCAAAGCCTCGCTGCGCCTGAGAGTTCACGACAGGGGATCATCGGAGAATCGATGATCTTTGAAGAGCCTTTGTGTCAACATGTAAGAAAACCCAAGACCGAAACACATGCCTGAAAAGCGGTTCTTTCCAGCATGATGTTAAGCACAGTTACGGGCTCCGGGAGTTCCAGCCACATGTTCTTCGCCAGCCTGGTGGTTTGCACACTGTGCCATTGCTGGATCGATGGTTGATCGTCACAGGACTGGAGTCAATGTTTGAACCGATGCTTTGGACAGACAGGACGGACAGATACTGTATCTCAGATTGCTCATCAAATTCCCGACTAAGACTGTCCTCGAAATGCAGTCAGTTGAAACACGTATGCTAAAGATCCCAAACGGTGCGGCAGAATTCCTTCAAACGTAGGTAGATTCTTGTAGTACTGCCTCTCCAATGTCAATCACCTACAAATACTTCTGGATTAATGGGTCAAACCAACGAAGCATAACCAAACCCTAAGACATACAACATCTCCATTCCATGAAAATGGCTGGCAGATACCATTCACCCAAAGGAACTACCAAGGTCCATGGCACACGACGGTCCCTCCCGTGCCCCGCCCCACGTGGCGTGTTTGCTCCGAGGCCGGGAACTTCGTGGACCTGGTGCAGCGGGGCTTCTACACCGGGCCCGGGCGACCCGGTTTTCGTGCTTTTCGGGCGACCCGGTGACCGGTGAGGCGACACCCAGAGACCTCAAACGAATCATGAATGATTTATACAATCATAATGTATCATATGCATTTAAAAGTGTTCGTATATATAAATGATTCAATGATGTATAAATACTATAAAAAAAGACTAACACGTCATTTTAACGGCCGCTGACGAAAGCAACACCTAACACCTATCACGCAGCAGTTAGAGAACCTACTGACTGTATTATATGTAATACTAACGTTGCATTCCAAATGAGTTTCAAGCACCTCCTTTGGGATGTCCCGTTGATTTCTTCCGTCATCCTATCAACAGCTTGTCCGAGATCTACTGCAATCCAGTGGCACTTGGGCTGGGAATTTGCAGAGTTGCTGGATCCTTTTGGAACTCCAAGCCCTCCGTTCCATCACGGCCAGGATGGACATCCAACGGGCGGATGGCTTCATTATCCAGTGCAGCTGCCATGTCTTAGATAAGAGACATCGGCAATGGGGGCAATGCACCCCAAGAGTGTTTAGACTGTAGAGCTGTATGAGAAGACCCATCTTGCGAACTTTTGCTTGGTCGTGCTATCTCTTGCAATCCGGAGCGGGTAGAATACTCTAATTCCACCCCGCAACGTCATAGCATCATGTTCGCAGACCACCAGGACGGGCGACCCCGGCCCGGAGAAGGGTGGCGGCTTTCAACCCACCCCCGGTGGACCTGCGTGGACGCCCGGTGAGCTCAATGGGGCCAGGGTGTGTTCTTCGCCGACCGGAAAGACATGAAAGACAAGACAGTGCGGCCTTCACCATGCATATCACAACTTCAGACAGTCTTGCATGGCCTGCGCATCCACGCCTGCAGCCCAGCCCAAATGTGGGTTTCACCGAAATTCATTCATTCCGATTCATCGATCAGTCAGTGGACCTTTGGTTGACACCCGTTCCAATAAAATACGTCAGTTAGGGCCTTAGGGGGATTCTTCACCTGGCCAACTTGGATCATGCTATTTCAAATGGATCAAAGGGGAGGATATCAAAGATAAGTTAAACCATTCTGAAATACAAAGTCTTTGCAATGTTTGAGCAAATCTTGAGTGCAAGCCAATAGACAAGAGAAGGTTCGCTCTTTTGGCATGTGTTCCGCCCAACCTTTCGCTTCAGGTGCGGCAGATCCCGCTGGAAGTGGGCATCCGTGGCCGGCCCGAGGCATCAACCGAACCCACCGCGCGAAGCGCGAAGCGTGTGGTGTCCCAGCCAAGTCCACTGCCTGATCTCAGCAGCCGCGCTTCTTGCGGCCACATGGTGCCCACCTGGTTGGGTTGCATCCCATGCTATTTATTATATCACGTTCATTTGAGAGATGAGTATCATCAAATTTGATTCATTGTTTATTCACAAACCAAAGATCCTCGGCAATGATCAAATCTTCTCAGATTCTCAAGAAAAGATGAATATATAGCTCATTTGCTCTTAATTTGTCCTTTGTTTGTTCCTTATTTGCTGAATCCTTATTTGTATGTTAAATGCTTTTATGTTTCAAACTGGCTTGTTTCCATATGGCTCGTTCTTTTGGCCTATGATAAACTCAAGCAATCGTGGACCTCAAACCAGAAAGAAGATTGAAACACCGCTGAAACCTTGGAAACCGTTTCTAGCCATATACTTGGAGGCCTACTGTAGGCTCGCTTTTTTATGTCATATATAATCATATATATATATAGTTATATATATATATATTCTATATAGTTATATATATATATATTTATCCACAAACTCTCGGTCATTTTCTCCACCAACTCTCGGGCGCCACAGACCTTGTACGGGGAGACCGTGGATGAAGCGCGCCTCGTGGGGAAACCAGTGAAGATCCCCTTTCAGGCACGCTGACCGGCGGCCGCGGGGCGTTCACCAGTCCGGTGCAGGGGGAATGCGACCCATGGGACTTGCAAAAGACCATGGAAGGTTGGACGATGACTGTAGACTTGAGTGGAAAGAGTTGAAACAAGTTGATAAGGGGGCGTTGCGACATGGACGTGTTTGGGGTTTGTTTAACTTCTTTGGGATGTTTGGGACATTTGGGGACTTTCTTACATCATATCCTTGGCTGGAAACCTACCCGAAGAGCACGTTGTGTCAGGAGAAAGCGTAATAAAGCACACTGAAGCATGATTGGCACTATCATGTCCGGTTCTCGTGGCGAACCATTGATCCACACCCTGAAACCCGAACAGTGTTGGAAACCGGAAGGGCTCAATGGGCTCAGTGGAGAGGCAACCATAGGCAACCCAGCTACTGAGCAATGTCGTATAGTATAGTGTGATTCTAAACTTTTCCCATGCTTGATGTAGACTCTTGATGAACTAAAGACTCACCGCCAAAAGCAAATTGTCCAATAGGTGCAGCCACCCGCCACCCGCCTCAGGCCGATGGCACGGCGGCCTTGGCGCGCCGGGAGTTCGACAACGACTCCGCGCGGGAGCCGAAAATGGGGGGCGCCAGAGGTCCTGAAGAGCTGAGGAGTGAAGCTTTGGAGAGCTTGAGGGAGACAGAAGTTGTGAGGAGTGTAACCCGGGCAGCTTCAGTGGCATCTTGGAACATCTTGCAACCTGTCTCCCTGCTTGAGCTCGCAAGTTGCGAGATTCTGGTGAGTGTTGTTGACTAGGTGAATTCGACCAACTGAGTGGATCAGATAGGCCCAGAAACGTGTGTCCCCATTCTTCTATCCCTGCTTCATGGCCCCAAAGCCACACCATGCCCACGTATGCTTGTTCGGCTTCGCTCTCTTGTCGCCGCAGCCCAGGCCTCATCTCAGGTCTTTTTCTTCCTTTTCGAGTCGGCCCGGGCCCAAATGGCCATGTTCTGTTGCAGAGCACTGCGATGACTGCAGTCAGGGTGGGAAATGTATCACTTTGAATCTGTGTTAACTCCGTTGTGGTGTGGTGTTTTCAGTTCCCATTGGGGTTGCCGTTACATTATTTTACAGTACGTTTAGAGGCTTGTTGGTCCGTTCAAGAGTTTGTTCGAGGATGTGCAACCAAAAAGAAGAAGAACGCATGCACTCACATTGTATGTCCATTGAATGTCACCATGAATTTATTTGTTTTGCCACTATGAGTCAGGTTCCTTGTGTTGGTGTTGGTAAAATAGAAAGGTTGCCAAGGAATGCTGCATGTAGCATAGACCTGTTCAGAATCTCGCTACATATAATGTGTATATGTATGTGATTAATTTTCTGTGCATATATTTACTATATTTTGTTTATGTATAACAGAACGTATGTATAACAGACCGTTGAATAACCATATATTCCACACCTGGGAGGCACGTCTAGAGTCTATATATTCTTGAGGCAGCCCATCCCACACGCTCTTCGGTGATTTGCAAGGATGCTGCAGCTTTTGCCATAACAGCAGATGCCCAGTATCGCTGCCGCAGGTGACAAACAGGGACCTATCCTTACGAACGATCTCCAAACATTGAGTCAATCACTCACGCTCTTGACCCTCCAAGCAGACTCGTCACATCAGTCCAGCTAGAGCATGTACGATGAGTTGGACTACTTGTTCCTCCTGATCTATGCTCTACTGCCTACTGCCAGCTCAGAGAGGGTTGCACGGCAAGATTTGTGAGCTCTCCTCACCCAAGACGAAGCATCCGCACCAGCCGATACAGTAGAACACGCACAGAAGGGCGCAGTTCCCAGTCCACGCGGCCCATGTGGAGGACACAGTGCAGAGAAGCCCCGGCAGGGAAAATCCACCGGGCCAGAAGAGACCAAGCTAGACTAGACCTGTGAGAAAGTAGAAGTTTTACCCTCACAAAACATGGGCAATTCGGGATACGGGATTCATGTGGAGGCCTACGCTGCCATGCAGGGTTTCAAGATGTTTCAAGATTCGCCTGATCTTGTGTAATGTAGGGAAGTGCCTGTGGTTTGCCGTTGGTTGATTGCTTGTGTCCAGGAGAGCGATGGTGACTTGGAGTGCATATATATGCAGATATATATATATATAAGAGTTCCCAGCAGGGCAAGAACACGAAAGTCAAAGCAAGTACTGTACTGTATTGGAAGGACCGAACGGTCAAAGGCCTTGTTGAGCACGACAAGTTCATTTCCTCCCGGAGCAGACACTGGCAAATGCCTGTCAGAGCTGTTTTGTGGAGAAAGACTGCACCAATTGCCAGATGGTGCACTCCATCATGAGACAGTTTTTATATGTTTGTATCACTGCAGTCAGCCGATCCACCATCGTGGAGTGACCCACTGGGCACCATGCATCCTCCGTGTCCGTCCAATTCCGCACGGCGTCGTTTGGACGTAGAAATATATAATGGCTCCAAGGCCATGGCACTGCGCCTTCTTCTACTGCCCTTGGCCACCAGCGCCTTCTTCAGCAGAAGTCGGTGATGAATCAGCTGAGTGTTTGAGTTTTTGAATGGGTCCCGGGTTTTCGCGGAAAGAATCCTTTGAGTCAACGCCGTTCCCAGATTGCATAGAGTCCAGAGATGGTGGGGCTGGCAGGGAACCTTTTGCCTTGTTTCATGCAATTCCCTTGTTTTGCAAAATCCTATCGAGCATATGACAACTTCTTCAAAGCAGTGCGAGTGGTCCTTCGTGTAGGACCGGATGAATTGGTATATGCATGGTGGGTGCCGTGATACGGTGGACCCAACATGTCTGACGACACACGACGTCCACACGCAGCTCAAGGACCCTCCACGGTCGACGGATCTATATAACCTGCCAACTCAGGAGGCTTCGACATCGATGGCTGTACCAGCAGCTGGGCGAAGGTCTTGGAGTTGAAACTGGTTGTTAGGTATCATGGATGACCTCATGGATGATCATGGTGCTGGCTGAAGAGTTTTAGATGCTAATGTGCTCCAATGACATGGAAAAAGATTGAAAAAGACTATGTAATATCAGAAACCCATTGGTCCACCTTTGTAACAGGACATTCCAACAAGTGGCGTTGGAAACCTGAGGCGGACCACAATAGGTCTTGGACGGATGGTCTAGGCACCAATGTGACTGTGTCAACTCCCATGAGAGTCTGAAAGGATATTCAGTCATCCCGCAGGAATGGGTATGGCCGGCGCCGGTATGGCGTTTCATCAAACTAGCCTTCTCGGGATTCAGGACTTTCAGGAGTCAGGGTTGTGAATGTTGGTCAAGGTTTTGAGAAATTGTTGAAACGAGGCTGTCCAAGAAACTGATTCCCAAAGAAAATCCACCCACTTGTGGCGGCCTTTAGGTCAATGTTTGGATTGTTTTGAAAACCACTCAGGTATACTCAGGTTAAAAAACAGAAAATCTCAGAAACTGGGAATGCATGTCGTCACACTTAGGTGACCACGCAGTTGTTGTAACTAGCTCTGGCCCTTGCGATCTGGAACATCTGCGTCAGCCTGGCCCTTGAGGCATTGTGGTGAATGCCGATGCGATGCAGGACGGCTCAGCGGTCACCTCCCATGCGAATGACTGCGCCGAAGCGTGGCGGCGGACGGGCGATGGGCCGGTGGGAGACGGAAGGGAAGTAGACAAAACAGGTGGGCGGGCGGTTGTGTTATATATATATATATGTTTTGTTTTGTTTTTTCTCAGGGTGATGATCGATCGCTGACGATTGGTCAGTTTGGGTTCTTTGGGGTGAAAACGAAGCCACACAGCGGTTGTGTTTCAAGAACCACTTCCAACCCAATTGATGAACGCAGATCATGGGATCAGTGAGGGTTCGCGCTTGTCCTTTTGAAGCTCATGCTGCGCGACATCGTGTCCGAAGTGGGAGGTGTTTTTGGTGCTTGATGCCACAGCCAAGGATTGCGATTGGCGAGTGGCCTATGTCCCAGCGACTGGGGCGAGCAGAAGAGTTTGGAAGGTTTCTCCAATCTGTGAACCTTACATGGTGCCATATGGTGCCTATGTCCGATGTCACCGCTGTTCGTTTTGAGTCCATTCGATGTCACCTTCATCAGTCCCAAAGGATTATGTCCATGTGGCTTGGTGGCTTGCAACCAGTGACTGTAGCACTGTAGATGATTACTTTGACCACCACAAAGCCATAGTATAGACATAGTATGTACTAGGACCCCATTAGGACGCATTAGATATCATTATATAGGTGGCTTTGGGAGACTCGCACAGGAATCTCAACTGTTCCGTTTGTTGGTACTATTTGATCGATTTTATGCGTGCCCTTGTGGTCAAATATATATATATATATTTTTTAATTTATGTTTTGATACATTCACCTGGAAGATGGAACTGGTTGGGATTTGTATTAATTTGTGTTGCATTGGATGTGATTGAAGAGGGGCCAGCAAGTTTGCAGTGGGTTGCAGTCACTTTTTCTAGCCTATGGACATAACCCGCGGGGATCAAGGAACGCTTGTTTTTGGTCAAGAGAGTCCAACCCGCTTCTTGGAGTCGAATGCCCTTGGCCCTGGCCCTGGCCCCTGCCATGTTCACAGAGAATCATGGAGAATCGTGGTCGGTTGAGGCGTCATTAGCACCGTCGGTGGAATTTTTGCCGGGGCCGTCGTCGATGCGGCACAAGATGGGCACTGAAATGCGAGCCTAGAATCACTTGTGTTCAACAAGACCCAGCTACTTGTGGTGTGAAAAAACATGAAAACACATGAAAAAAACCACAGAAGTGTTAATTCAAAAAAGCAACAAAACTGTACAACACTAGCATGTTTGCCAAAAAAACATGTCGCCTGTTGCGTCGCTCCATGCGTTGCAGTTCTACCCACCAGACGTGTTGACATGTCGCCCTTTTTCCAGCCTCCCGAGGCACAGGATCATCCAGAAGGATCGGTGTCTTGGCACAGATACGAGGGAACCCGCTGTTTGTCATGCTGATGGATGCTGGACATTTGACCAGTGTTTTCCAACAGGCTCAAGATTGGTTCAAGAGTGAAGTGGAAACTGCATTGTATAGATCTTTGGGGATCAAAGCCAGCTTTGACAAAAAACGCTCCCAGGAGCGGATCATCTACGATGCGGTGTGGAGTCAATATCCACGGCTGGTGGATCCTTCCCGCAGCCTGGCCCAGCAGCGAGAATCGCTCAGGCATAGGTGGCAGGTGTCGTAGCAGTCGCAGTAGGTGACACGAGTTCGAACGCGCGAGTTCGAGGCTCCAAGTCCTATCAGCCAGCGATGGGCATCACCTCCACTGCGGTGCTGGGACGCATCCCTCAGGCCCATAAGACCATGGGTGTGAAGATACGGGGGGGGTCAAGATCAGAGGAAGAGGAAGCAAGAAGTTCATATCCGTCCAGTGTCCAGTCATGTTCTTCCACTGAAGCTTTTCACCCAAACAAGCATCCGTTGGCAGGTTCTCGCCAGGAAGCCACCAGTCAGTATAACCAATCATTTGTTGCATACCTATGTCTTCCAAGAGCTTCACTTTTTTAGTCTTTGGTGGACAAAACCGTTTTTGCCCGGCTGAGGACTGAACTTTGTGTAGTTGGCTGTTTGGAGATCTTTTTGGGTTTCCAGGGACCTTTCTTGATATTCCTGTGTCTCAAGGCCTTTTTCACTGCATGATCCACTTTGGCCTCATCCAGGCTGCCACTTTAGGCAGAATTGTTAGGCGCAATCATCTTGTGAGAGATTTGCGACAAACGCCACAAACATGCATCAATCCAGGAGGAATGACAAGATCTTTTAGTGAAGAAACTGCTTCAAAGGACCAAGGCATGCTGACATAATGGTCCGTCTAAGACTTTGATTACGTAAAGAACTGCAATCTTGGACCATCTCTCATGAGCACTCTCATGAGCGAACCCGTCTCTCACGGATGGCTTGGGCACCTTGCTGCCTCAGTCGAGCAGTGCGCCTTCCAGCACGCAGTGAGTTCTGGATTTTTTGGTTGGGATGGGAGTTTGGTGATTCAAGCCTATTTTTTGAAGGCGTGGATCCTGATGAAAGCAATTGTTTGCCCAAGTGCCCCTGGTGCTTACCCTCTAGCTGTGAGTGCCATGGACCGTCCACCACAGCATGAACTTGCGAAAGCTTTGGAAGCACAGCCGATCATCCGCCAAAGACTTCTCTCTGAGGAGACACCCTACCTCACCCGCTGGGCTTCCCAAACGGCTATCGGAGTGCGTTCAGTCGCCGCAATGCGGCTCAACGCAGTAGCCTTGGAGAAGCTGGCAGAGTGGTGGTGCCCATGCAACCCTAGTCCTAAGGCGGTTTCTATCAGTCTCCTTCGTCAGGAGGCTGGAAACTTGGATGGTGGTGTGATCATGGAGCTAGAGCCTAATCATGTCCAAACAAATCATCGCCTCTGCCTGTTCCACTTCAAAATCCATTCGTGCCAAAACCAAGCCCCCTGAGGTGGCACAGGTGCGTGTGCTTACGGGTCGGGACACTGACGCACGGCTGATCCACTTGGATGCGCATGGTCTCAAAGCGCTCTTTTCACATGGGATCAGAAGATTCAAGCAAAGAAATGCAACCTCTGCTTCTCCCACTTACCAATCAAGTTGTTATTAATGTTGGGGTTGCCAATTTTTCCTTTGTTAATTGTTTGGGGTTGCCAATTGCTCTTGTTTTGTTTTTTATTGTTGACATGTTTTGTCCAACATTTTGGAATTCAGTGTCCTCAGCACGAGGCTCCAGAGCTGGCAAGGTTCTATGAGATTCTGGAGTTTCACTGGACCGAGGCTGACATGGACGCCGCTGCTGATCATGATGATGATGGCAACGATGGCGATGAGTTCTTTCCTTCAGAGAATGATGGTTACGGTCCTGCAGGTGAGGAAGGGCCTGAAGAGTATAAAGTGCCCGAAGGCACTGCTGAGACGGAGCTTGATGAGGACACCATGGACGGGGATTCGGATGTGGTCGTAGTTCAGGAGTTGCGAAAAGCTGAGACTCCAGACAACCAGCTTGGCCTGTCTCCAGAGGAGACTTCGTTGTTTGGAAGCCCGCCAGCTGAGTCCGATCCTCCTGCTCTTCCTGGCATTGATGTGCCTTGTGAAACCCCTCCGACCAAGAGGTCAAAGATCGGAGAGCAGGATGCCAAGAGCAACGCTAGTGAAAAGACTGCGATGCCACCACCACCGCAGATCTCGATCCCCTTGCCTCCCATGCCACATCCGAGCCTGCCGCGCGAAGTGCAAGCGCTCATCATTCAAGCTCGCATTGCAGCACTCAAGCTTTCTAGTTGCATGGAGTTTTTTGTTGTCTGGGGCTGTCGGGATTTCCCATATATTGTGATTTGTTCTTTATGTTTAGTTCATCTGAGGTTTCAAATGGAGCATGCCGGGCAGCATGATGGTAAAGATCAGGAGCCTGCTTCAACCTCTGCCGTTGGACTACCAGCTTCCACTCTGTCCCGAGCCAAGTCATCAGCACATGTGGAAGTGCCCATGGACAATGCAGAGACACAGCCATTGGAGGAATCATGGCCAGAAATTCCAATAGTTCTTGATGACACTCAAGACACCCAGATCTATGTGCCATCTCCTGACGCTGGCAAGAAGCTTGAAAGGGCAAAGATGCTTTCCTTCAATAGCCAGGAGGGTGTGTCTGAGCTGGCTGCGCCAGGACAGACTGCTGAAGTGGCAGCTTGTGATGGAGACGCTCCTGAAGGTGCAAAGAAAATTCCGGAAGAGAATACTTTGCCGCAGCAGGAGGAGGTTGCAGAAGCGGCCAGGATCCATGAAGGGAAGTCTGCAGAAGTGGCACCTCCACAAGAGAAGACAGGGAAGACTACACAGGTGGCACCTCCACAAGAGAAGGGAGAGAAGACTACACAGGTGGCAACTCCACAAGAGAAGGCAGAGAAGACTACAGAGGTGGCACCTCCACAAGAGAAGACAGAGAAGACTACAGAGGTGGCACCTCCAGAAGACAAGGCTGCACATGAGCCCGTACAGGGCCCTCACAGTCCCCTTCATGCAGATGATGGTGTGCCAATGGTCATGCGGCAAAACCAGCAGGCCATGAAGAAAATGAAAGCAGGCCCTAAGAAACGCCCTGCCGCTTCTCCGGGGAAGGTAGACCAGGATGAGCAGCAAGAGGGTGGAGAGGTGGTTGATGCGCCTTCTCCTCTGAATCCGAAACAGTTGGATGAGAACTTTTCTCAAGTGGCGGATGTTGGTGATGATGATGGTGCGGCGAAGACAAAGCAAACGCGGGCCAGGGGCAAGGCAAAGGCCAAGACACAGGCCAAGGCCAAGCCGGAGCCCAAGAAGAAAGGTAAGAATGCTCAGGCTGAGCCTGTGGAAAGCCATGAGGAACAGCCACAGCCTCCTGTTCGTCGGACTCGGAAGAAGAAATCCGCTGAGGAAGAAGATCTTGGGCAAAGCTCCTCCGGGCACCAGAAAGCTAAGAATGATGGTGAGGGTGAAGCCTCTACCGAAGCCAAGGGCCTTGGAGATAAGCTTGATCAAGAGCCTGGCAGCGCAGCAGCTGCCCCAAAGAAGAAGCAGAAGCAGGAACCTGACAGTGAAGTTGCGGCTTTGCTTGGCCAGAAGGTGACTTTTGCTGGGAGGCGAGCTGCCAAGACTGGGCCAGCCAGGGCCCGCTTTCTTGCCATGGTCGCGTCGTACTTGGCACAGGTCGAGCCAGTTGTCATTGAGACTCAGGCAGGGCGGCTTGGAGGTTTTAGCAAAATGTCCTGGGGCCCTGCCAACCAGTTCTGTTGATTTTCTGCAATGTTGCTTGAACAGTTTTCTTTGACTGCAGGCCCTACAGCGGATGTGGTGGGAGTTTGCGTTCGGAGAGCTTGAAGCCGGAGATGTTTCTGTGGCGGAGCACCGCAAGATCACGGATCCCTTGGCCAAGTCTTTCGTGAAGCATGCTGAAGTCCGTCCCTATCTGAAGCCGCGGGCTTCTGAGTGATGGAATCCTGGGGTATGATGACAGTGTCTTGAATGATCACTGTCCTTTTGCTTGGAGATTTGATGTGTCACGTAGTCGGACCAGTGCTCGCATTAGAACGGAAGCTGGATTTTGCTCGCCGCTTCCGTGCGCGTGACCCTGAGTTTGCTGGCCACCTTCAGGGAAAAGAGGTGCTCTAAGCAAAGGCTTCTACCTCCCCACTGTACTGTGAACTCTTCTCAAAAATGGTTCGTTCACGCAGAAGAGTGTCCGTGTGTCTTGCGTTTCAGCCACCAGGTACACCAATGAAGGACCTGTACAAGCCGCGCCGGGGGCAAAGCTGGTTGGTTTCCCATGGCCTGTGCCTTCCAAGTCTGGCTTGCACGCTTGACTGCGAGCGCAAGCAATGTTTGATTCTGCGTTGGGACCTAAAGAAACCTCAACGCCGTGAGCCATCAGTGGTCAAGAGTCAACAGAGACAGGCATTAGGAAGCCATGTCACCTTCGAATGTGGAAATTGTGATTCGGCGCCTGATTGGGATAGGAGCGCCTAAAGAGTCTTGATTACACCTAAAGCTGGGATCAAGTGTCAAGTGCCTGTGAGGCTGCTTTAGCTTCGGAAGCTGAGGACCTGGTTCTTTTGGTGCTCCTTTGTTCTTGGCTAAGCATTGAGGAGTTGACCACTTCCACAGATGAATGGGATCTACTTGACTATTTTTGCGGTGAGGGGCGCATTGCCAAGTTAGCATCAAAGGTTGGGTTGAAGGCCGCTGCATGTGACATCAACCTCTTGCCGCGTACAGGCCAATCAACATCTCAAGCCCGGAGTGGCCGTCATGCCCGTTGGCCCATGGACATCAACGGGGAGGTTGGTTTCGTGTTTCTTGTTGTCAGACTGCGGGCGCCAGCCGGCCATTTAGGATGATGAGAAGGGTTCGTGTTTAAAGCCTGTTTAAATCTGTTGGGATGCTTTTGTGGGGGCTGAGTTATGTGATCAGTTTTTCTTCTTGCCTTGGCTGCCAAGGCTAATGTTGGCCTTGCTACTTCAGGGGAAGTACAAAGAAACAGTTATGTTTCTTGCGACCTTGTGCTCCACCTGGGTATCAATCAACGCTGGCACTTCTCAGCGAAGCTGTTTGGTACCATCAGGAAACCCCACCCAACTGGCCAACAGACGAGCCAACAAAATGGTGACGCGGACAGGGCTGCCCATGACAAAGTAAGTGTTCAAAACTAGGGGTGTAGGGGTGTTATATTCACAATCAAGGACTTTCCTCACCCTATTCCGATAGAGCTTCCAGGACTTGTCTATTGATCCTGGTTCTGGCGACCATGCTTGGGGTATGGTTCCTGGAGCAACCTGCCTC